ATTTATATTTATATTGAAACTACCTATATTTTCTAAATTCTTTTAATTTTATCTTTAGTTATAAGATTATAACATTTTTATTCTTTTTTTCATTTCATTAATGATGTTAACAATAATTAATATTTCCTACTTTATCGATAAAGAAGAAACGAAAAGTAATACCAAAGAATACAGAAATACATAGAAGCTCACAAGTCCACTTTTTGCGTAACCAAATTCATCTTAGTTACTAACCTGAAAAAAGAATAGTAGTTTGATAGTATTGTACTGTTATCGCGTTAAATACCTACTATTGCCCACTAATTTTCAGGTTAGTAACTAAGATGAATGTGGTTACGCAAACAGTGGACTTGTGAGCTTCTATGTACTTCTGTTTTTTATGATAATACGGAATAAGCGCCATCCAACGGAACGCAATAACTTCAAATGCGTAGATAACAAAGGATTGAAAATAAACTATATGGAGATATATTTATTTACTTAATTTATATAAAAAAATATTATAATTATGTTGTGATTACTTGTAATTAAAATATTTTTTTACAATAAATTTTAATTATTTCTAATTAACATAACTATAGTGTTAGTTGGATTGAAACGTAATAAGTAATTGGTACACTTCGTGTTAAAGTACAATTTTGGTTGTCATCCCTGGTCATAATATTCTTTTTTAATCAGTGAAGAATAGGTAATTGTGAATCACAAAAAATGGTATTGAAACTCAATGTGTATAGTAGTCATAGAATTGGTGTAGAATAACTTATTTGATATATATAATCTTATTTGAAAAGCGTGTTAAGGTCGAAATGTCATGTAATTCGACTTATCGTATTCATCCTGGCACAGTTGGCTTAGTGAATATGTATTCTTTTTTATCGTATGTAGTGGCTTTGTACAGGTGGGCGATTAATGTATTAAGTTAGACATTTTTGACAAGTACTTTGTGTAATCGTGTTTTCAAACATTGCACGTTTATTGTATGCAAGAAACGATCGTTAGAGTGTAATACAGAAAAAATATGAATAAACATTAAATGTTTTCCAACTTTTGAAGGTATAAATTTTGCTCTTAAAAATGAGTTGGTTACGAAATAGTCCATTGAGAACAAGTTTTACCAAACAACGATCTAGAGATTCACCACCAAAAGATGCCGATCCATCAGCATGTTATGATAGCTTCTGCAAACATTGGCAACAAACTTATGAGATCATTTTACATACTATTGTAAGTTATATAAAATATTAAATGTAGTAGTTAAAAATATGTTTTATGTAAACATTTTTCAATAACTCTTATAATATTTTAAATTCATTATACTTAGTCATGTAATTGTATCTATACAGCCACCAAAGGGAATACCTAGTCAAGACGATGTTCTTGGTGTTGTTAACCACATCGACCAGATGGTAACTCTTCTGGTATTGGAACTCAGAGAGTCTACTTCTTCCAAGCATTACCGTCAAAATTCTAGTGCAACGCATTCTCCATGTTTAGAGTACTTATTAAGTGAAAATTTACTTGTAAAATTATATGAGTGGAGTGTACATACCGGAAGGTAAATATTTCAATTATTTTTATTATATATATATATTATTTGAATATGAGTGAAAGTATTACATGTATTTCTTATTATTTTTCCTAAACATTATTTTACTTTCAGGTTTAATAATGCTGTTCGTTTAGAACAACTAAAGCTTTATGAATTATTAGTATCATACAGCGGTACATTGCTTGCACACGAACCAGTAACAAGACCGCTGCTAAGACTATTAGAAGAATGTGCTAATGACATTATGCTTTTGGAAATAGAAAAAAAATTGGTTGTTCTACTAAATCAATTATGCGTAGCTTTAATGCAAAATATGGCTCTACTAGATCTATTTTTTCATTCAACGGCAACTGGGAAAAATAAGTTAATAAAAAAATGATTTGTTTATTTTGTAACTGTATGTAAAAGTATTTTCCTGATATATTTCGCATCGATTTTCAGGTTTATTATTTTTACATTATTGATACCTCACGTTCATAGGGAAGGAGGTATTGGACAACAATCTCGAGATGCTATGTTATTATGTATGTCTCTTTCCAAAAAAAATGATGAAGTTGGATTATATATTGCTGATCAATCCAATATTTGTCCGGTAAATTATATTTTTCAATATAAAAATAATGTCAAGAAATAAAGCAAAAAATGTATAAATTTACAATATACAAAAAAATATTTATTTCACTAGGTACTAGCTACAGGTTTGAGTGGCCTTTATTCTTTATTACCTCGGAAACTTCATATCGAAACAGATGATTGGCATCGTTTAACACCTGATGATATTAATGATATACCAGCACTTATACAACTTATGAATTCTTTGGAATTTTGTAATGCTGTTGCACAAATTGCTCATCCTATGGTTCAAAAGCAATTGCTTGAATTTTTATACCACGGATTTCTAGTACCAGTAATGGGACCTGCTTTATTACAGGTAAGTAAAAGATTTTAAGCAAAATAATTTTGTTATTTATCACATAATTTATTTGTAATAAAGAAAGGTATTCACTTAGTAATAGCAGTGTACTTTTTAATATTACAAACCCTTAAATTAACTTTTAAAGAACTAAATTATTGTGATATATAAAATAAAATTAGTGGAATTCAACAATTCAACAAATCCTTGACATTTTTAATTGCTTTTTTTTTATTCAAAATTATTCATACTACATTATTTGTGATATTTTCTTATTTTATTTTATTTATTGTTATTCATACACATATATCCACATGTAAAACACATAAAAGTTGTTATTTGATTAATCAAAGCGCACGCAATTTAAGACACAAAATTGAATATAAATTTATCACTAGTTACTAATAATACCTATTAAGTAGTGAACATTATAACATTTACAAACTTAATTCTAAATTATCTTTATGATAATTTATGTTCTTTTATAAAATAATTAAAGAAATATTACATTTAATAACTTATACAATTAAAAAGAAATTTTACTATATTTTATTATATTATAAATATAAATATAAATTGCATTAATTTTGTAATATTATACATATTATTATAATATTACAAAATATATTATACGTAGAAATAATAAGCATTTACATATTATCTACGTCAAGCATTGCTTAATATTTTGTGTATTTTTCAATATGGTGTTGGTACTGCTAAAACTCAATTTTCATGCTAATAAGGCATAAGTTATTGATGTTATCCTTTATGATTGTTGGTGGCTATCTGGTGATACGCTCATGGTGCTCTTAGGATTCTCTTGGCTTGACTCTAGAACAGCTAGATGCACTGGAGCACCGGGTTAGTACAAAATATACTTTTGGGTATATAAAGATAGTATCTCAGTCAAGAAAGGAAATTTTTGGCATGATAATTTGCTTTTAAAGTCATCTATTGTAAAAAAAAAGTCGAAAGCAATTCTTTTTAATTTTGTAAATATAGCATTTTCTACTGAAATACTGTCTTCGTAAAAAATCTTATCAAATCGCTTTTTTGTCATTCATATTTTTTTGCAATGTGCTTTCTGTAAATTTATGCTTCATAAGATATCTTATGTAAATGGTAATGGTTCTTGTTTTCTTTTAACAAATTAATTTTAATATTTATTTATTTTATGTCACTCTTCAGCACAATGTTTTGAATTCATTACTTAAACCATTGATTATCTCCTTTAACAATATGCTAAAATAAAACTTTCGTATTTGTTCCTGAGTACCCTTCTTTTATCACATAAAGCAAATATCCATCTTTATTTTTTTTTTTAAATTTACCAGGTTCAACAATAGCAGTAATTAATTTTATAATATATAAAAAGACAACTTTTTCATTTTGTTACTCTTTAGACAAATAATAACAAAATTCTCAAGGTTACAATTTTGTATACTGTGACATCAGAAAGAACTAATAATTTGAAAGTGTTTTGCAATATTTAAAAAAAAAATCTGATAATTTTGTATAATTTTTCTCTATGTAATATTTCTAGACAACTGTGGATGAATTAGTAGCAGCTACAGCTTATTTTGATTTGTTTCTTCGATCCGTAACAGAACCAGGTCTACTAAGATCACTAGTTAGATTTTTGCTAGAAGATAACTATGACGAATGTAGAATATTGGACAGTCTTATACAAAGAATATCTTCCAGATCAAGGGTACATATCTAAAATATATTTCAATATATTTTTCATGAATAATATTTAATCTAATGATAATTTTCTCTCTTGTATTAATATTGTATGATTGTATATGTTTCTCTCTTTTTTATAGTTATGTATTGTAACTTTGGCATTATTTGATACCTTGATTAACTTAAACTGTGAGGATGTAATGCTGGAGCTATGCTTAGGAGCCTTAAGCCCTTGTTCTCACGTAATGTTATCTCAGCGCCGAAGATTGAAAGATATAGATCCTTTCGGACGAGGTGCAGAAAAATTTTTAGCTTTGATACCAAATTGTTGTTCTCCATTTTCTCCATTGGCTACATCACCTACTTCATTACCAAACACTTTGTCTGCTTCACGTGAAGAATCTTTGAATAGCACAGATACATTGAAATCGTTACCATTATCAATAAATTATGGTACCAGAATATCAGACAGTCTATATGGGAATTACCATGCTTATCTTTGTGATGCTAGACAGAAAATAACAGCATGTAGGATAGCATGTCGTAACTGGTCATCTCGTTACGATGGAGAAATATCTCAAGATAATAATACTGGAAGTGCAGTTACCTTAACAGATGAAAATACATTACTTGATCAATCGACAAAAAAAACAGAACAAGATATAATACAATCTTCGGAAACACATTCAATTTCTGTCATTGGTACAAAGGAGAATATTTCTTCCGATAATATATTAGCTAATATTCAAAGTTTACTAGAAAATAAAGAATTAACGAAAAATACACTTAATACGGATATACCAGTAACATCAGATGTAGTATTATCACTTGAAGAACAAGCTAAATTAGATGCTGATATTGCTGAATTATTAAATGAAAATATAGGTTCTTCAGAATCTATTGTTGAAACATTTTTAACAGCAGATAAAAAAGGCTCTGATAGTGGTATAGATGATTCAAATACAGCTATGAATTCTTTGCTCTCATTGGGAGAAAGTAGTGGTTATGAAAGTTTTGCATTTAAAGGGTCATCAGAGTCAACGCCAGAAAATGAGCCAAGTGAAAATCAAATAAATGAACATGAAGAAACAGATTCAGAATACAATCACGAGCCTAATGTACTTATCCATGATAAAGTAGAGTCTAACTCTATAATATCAGAAGAATCAATAATAACTAAACAAATTAAAGATACTGCATATCGTCAAGATATATTTAATGGACAGCCAAATGTTGGCATATTTTTGGATGTTATTTTAAGAAAACTGGAATGTATGACAAGCAATAATTTATATGTTAATTTACATTTAACTGGTCTTATAAGTAGATTGGCAATTTATCCACAGCCATTGTTGCAATCATTTCTATTGAATCATTCATTGGTGTTCCAGCCTAGTATCAGATCATTATTTCAGGTTAATTTATATTATCATTAATATGTCATAATTTTAATATTGTATAAACTAATTTTGTTATTGATATTTGATACCTTTTTTATAGGTGCTTGCATCTTTAAAGCATAAAATAGATCAGTTCCTATCCAAACATGACAATGTCGACTTGTTAGTGGATCAAGCTAGATCATTTTTAATTGGTCGTGAGGATAGATTAGTAAATGCACGAAAAAATGCATTAGAAGCTACTGCGCAATTTGCATGCAGTAAAAGGAATTCCTTAACAAACGACTCATTTTTAAGAGGTATTATTTCTTTTCTAAACATAATTTAAAGCTTAGGCATATATTTTATGATCTTGTTTATCTTTAACGCATACGGACATGTGTGTACGCGTGTATTGGTTACCATGAAGAAGTACTCTATTTCGAAAATATTTATATAAAATAGGTGAATATAAACAAAAGGTAGCAGGTAACAGTATATTATTAATGTTTAGTTTTAATATCACTTCTAACTGTTTAGGTGAACCTAAAAGGAGAAGCTTGACATCGTCCTTTACACAAATGTTCAGAAGAGCAAGTAATACATCTGGCTCAGTTAATTTAACAAATTCTATCAGTCAACCATCTAGTATATCAGAGAATCAATTAGAATCTGTAGGATTTGGAACAGGCTATCGGTAAAATTTCTGTATTTAATGCATTTAAAAAAAATACTAATTATGTAATTTTTAATATACAAAAATTTGTATTAATAGATATTATATTAGATCATCGTGGGAATCTCCAAATGAAATAAGCCCAGTACAAAATATAGTATTATGTGCAGTTGTATTAGATGAATGGTTAAAAGAATTAGCAGCTATTACTCAAGAACATGCCATTATGTCACTTACAAATGGTTTAGAACATAAAACATAATACAAGGATCTATAATGATAGAATTGCTAAATGAATCTAAAAAAGGTAAATAGATAGTAATAAAAAATAAATAGCTTTGCAAAAGTGTTCATTATTTTTTTTAGCAGGGTTTTTAGAATTGTAGCTACACATTATATAAGCTTCATTACATTTTTTAAAAAGTTTAATGTATATAAGATTTGTATCGTATAAACTAATATGCTTTTCTATTATTTTGAATCGTAGCATCATATTTAAAGGCAAATTACTTTACCTATCTTTTGAATAATTAGTATTTAATTATTAATTACTTGCACATTTGATTACATTTCATTTATATGTATATATATAAGTTACATATATTTATGTTACTTATATAAATATATATATATATATTATAAAAGTAAAATTATCTAAGATATTCTTATAGAATATATTCTACAAAAATCTATGAGAACATGAGAAAAAGAGAGGGAGAGAAAGGAGTGTATTTATTATCTTTATTTTATCTAATATTTTAATTTACCAAATTAAATACAAAAAAATGTACAGATTCATCAAAATAACGTTGGGGCAAGTAAGCATTAATTTTGAATAAAGTTTATGCTCGAACATTAGGCTTTGTAATATTAAATATCATTTATATCAGATAGTTTCCTAATAAATTATACAAAGCAAAATGGTTCTCAAATAAAATGTATAAGATTTTTGATTTTTTATCACATTTTCTTTTTAGAAAATGTAAATAAGTATATCTATTTTTAATGATTTACATATGATTTTATTGTTATTTAATATATATAAATATTTTGATGTTTCTTGTTAATGATGCGTACTTATATTAATTGAAATAAGTTTTAAATATTATTTACAATTTTAAAATAAAATATATTCTTGTAGCTTCTTTATGTAATATACTAACATTTTAATATTATTAAGATGACATGCCTATATTTTAAACATTATATTTTAAAAATTGTAAGACTCGTTTGGCTTGTTTTACGAATATAATTTCAGTAAGGAGTGTTTAATGAATTGCCAAATATAAAAATATCATTTACTCTTTTTTATATAAGTATAAAAAAAAATTATTATTTATGTGTGTGTGGATAAAATTGACGAATTTTTTATGCAACCTTATTATATGTATATTGTATAAAAAGTTAATCTTGCCAATACATTGCAATAATCATGACAAAATCAAACAAAAATATAACACACATATCAAGGTCTAGTTTTAAATATTCAGGATTAAAATATTTATTCTGATATTTTTAAATACGTATTTGATATTACTTTTGATATAAGCACAAAAATTATATTAAATGGTAAAAAAATGCAATCCTATATAATGTAAATCAAGCTAATAGTTTTATTAACTTTAATAATATAATTTTTGTATTGTTCATTTGTATACAAGATGTTTTCAAAAATGTGGACACAACTTTAGAGATAGATACAATACACTAAAATAAAAAAAAAGTTTATATGAACATATGCCCAAAGTTATGCCCACATTTTTGGAAACACTCTGTATACATTTCAATGTTAAATTCTTGCCTCAATGTGATATTATAATTATGATTATATAAAAATAATAAAATAACCTTGTAAAAACTATTTGTCCGGTACAAAATAAAATATGAAGATACAATTTATTTAAAACAATTGAATGTGATGAAATTTACTAGAAAAATTATTAATTGTTATTGTCTTTTATGACAATCATGCACAATTTTTATTTATTTTAATTAATAACTAAAAAATATGTAGTATTATATATATATATATTTATTATTTTATAAATAATATATTTTATAAGCTATATTATTTTTTCATGCAAATTGTATATTTTTTTTTATAAATGGGTATATGTACATTCAGTTGAATTCTAAATAGTAAATACGTTTCTGAGAATTTAAAAAAATAATTAAATTCAGGATCAATCTGTAATATGTCCAGTAATATTGACACCGCTTTTTTTATAATGACTGTCGATAAAATAAAGCATAACAAAAATGGTAAAGAACTCTAACCACAATCCAGTTAAAATAAAGAAACAATAATTCTCTACCAAGTTTCATTAATAGTACGTTGTGAATGTAATTTATTATTTCAATATAAATTTAATCTTGTAAAATTATTAAATTTAATTAAATTTCCGTTGAAATTATACAATCAATAAGATTAATTACATATGTTATCTTTCTTTACTAGCGCCCTCTTAGTTTCCAATAAGGATGGTGAACTAGATACAGAATTTTCTTAATATATTTCTTTGTTATTAGAATAAAACATAAAAATATCGAATATTTCTTACTTATCATTGATCCAAAAATACGAAAAATATATTTGCAGAAAATCGTTGATGCGTAAAAACCTTAACTTTGATTGTATATTCGTAGAATAATGAGTTTATTCCGAAACAGTAGGAATCTATAATAGTAATCATGACAAGTCAAACAATGAATAATAAGATTACGTATAATAGTTTAATATGTTATATTACTTTTTTCGTTTAAAAAGTTAGATATATGCTGGACATTTATTTTATAGTCGTAATAATTATATTATTTTAATATATTCTGAATATCAAATACATCAGAAACAAAAACGAAGACACTTGCAAATATGGAGGTTGGTTTCATGAATAATACTAATTTTCATTATAATATAAACAATTACATTTTATTTAATTAAAATATATCTGTTTTATATATTCAATACTATATTTATAATTATACTTATAATTATGATGTTTTTAAGCTTAATGTGTTAGTACGTTTCTGAAAAGCTTTTATAAGTAGTGACATAATTATTTATTATGAATTAGGTAGATGATTGTTCAGCTGGTGGTGATACCGGAGGAGAAGAAGATGAAGATGATGCTTCTACACATGGATCAGTAAGTAACAGTAGCAGTAGTGGCATGAGTGGTAGTAGTACTTCAACTGATAGTGGAGAAGACAGCGGAGAAGAACGAGATTCCAGCGATACAGATAGTCATAGTTCTGCGGATGAAGATGACGATGAAAACGAAAATACAGAATATTCAGTAAAAGCAGAAAGTTCAGATTCTATGGTAAATATATAAAATACATTAATTTCTTAATAAAATAGGTTTTCTCAATAAAAGACTCTTTTTTTAAACTGCTTTATTTTCAGAGGTGGGAAACTTGCGTTGCTGCGAATACACGACTAAAGCTTCCACAAGATCTTTGCGAGAATTCAGCTATCTTCAAAGAACTATTAGATTACCCGTATTTTTGGAATGAATGTCTTAGTGAAAATCAAAGAGAATCTTTATATAGCTTCTTACCAACTTTTCCAAAAGATTGTGATATCGAAGCTGAAATGGAAAGAACACTGCAAATGCTATTCGACAGGGAGGATCATAGGTAATTACATGTTTAAATTTTCAAATGTAATATTTGTAGATATTGTTTTTTATTAATTAAATTAATTCAACCAGATTTGGAGTTGCAACATTAGATGCATTTCATAAACATCTTTTAGCTGGTTATTATAGACCAGATATCAAACGAATGCGCAGTTTGCTGCATAAAGCACAACAAAAAAGACTGCTTTTTGAAGAACGTAAAAGATCATACGAACTTGCCAATCAGTTACTTAAATCACGAGAGAGTTTATTATCTAATGCATATAAACAGGGTTTTAGCCAGCCTGTACATCGAACAATGTCTAAATTTCATTGGAAGAAACCAAAACCAGCAATGGGTAAGTGACTACTCTTATAATAAATACTAAAATTTTCCTGGCTGTTTACATTTGCCCCACACTTCAGCCTTTTGGCAGAGAAGTATATAGTAACTTCCCGGGGACAATACTAACAAGCAATCAACTGATAGTTGAAGAGAAAACCCAGCTACGCTATTTGGAGGAACTGAGTATCCTGAGGACTGAACTGGGAGCTAGTGCAAGGTTAGCACCTGACACAACATCTGAAAATGAAGAAAATTGTTTATATTATCAACTATCTGGAAATAAACAAAAGAAGAAAAAGCGCTCCATCATGAGTCTTCAAGGACTATCAATCAGGGGGTTGCAGATCAATCAAGAAGATGAAACTATTCGACCTGTATTTTCGACGTTCCAACGAACAGACTATGCATCAAGTAGGTCACTATTTGTTCGTGAACGAACAGAAGAAGCATATCGTTTAATGTTAACAGCTCATAAAAAAAGAAGAGCACGAAATGATGTATGTAAAACATGCTATATTATTAGTGTATTAATCAAATTATAAAGCTTATAAAACATTTATTTATCTTCTCTTTTCAGATTCATCCAGAATTAAATACTCAGGGTATTGCTCTTGCTGACTTAACTCAAAGAGCACAGACTGGTCAAAAGCACAAGCTTTCAGTTAATACTTCTATAAGAATTCCTCCTGCTAAGAAACGTATTAAACAAGAACAGTCTACACTTTGTCCACCTGTACCAAAATTAATCAATTCAAATTCTATGAAACACGAAAGTGATAACAGTGATTATTCTCATACAACAGACGATAATAGACATTCTAATGCAATGGATATAGATCACAAGTTGACACCCATAAAATCTGAACCTGTAGATGTATATGATATACCTCAAGTGTCAAAGAAAAAAATGTATGATATAAAATTAACAAATTTTCGATTTCTTTTAATTGTTATTTATTCTTATATTTGTAATTATTTATACAGGAGCCCTGTTACTCCTAGAAGTAATAAACCTATTCCAAGCACAATAGAAATTAAGAAAGAAGTAGAAGAAATGGACTTTGATGATATCAAATCAGAGATTAATACAGGCACAAATGATGATGTTATGCCAGAAACAGAGGATGACGAGGAAAATGATAAAAAAGAACTTGACTTAAGTAGCATTGACATGATGCAAATACCTATTCAACTTGACGATGGTATTGATATTCTTGATGATGTGAAGTAAGTTAAAAATATATTACAATAATATCTTATCTCAAATAAAGAAACTAAGTGTGCATTCTTCACATTTCTTTTTCTCTGTTTAAGATGTGAGAATGAAAGTGTTATAACTATGAGAGATAAAGAAATTTCAACACCTAGTGGAGAAGATACTATTGATGTTAATAGTGGAGCAGAATTAATGCAAGAAACACATGCGTCATTTTTCTCTTTGCTGAGAGATGCTTTTACCTCTAAAGGAGAATTTAGAATGAGTACTGGAGAAATAAAGGATGCTATCACACAATGGCAAGGAAATCCAATTTCACCACTAAATGACTGGTATGGAAAGACATATAATTTAAAAATAAAACGTACATTAAAAACTAATTAAATATTTTAAATAATTTTCTATACATATTTTTGTGCAGGTATTCCTTGGCATCCTCATGGCCGTCATTAGTTCCATTAGCTTTAGGATTTCTTGCCGGTGAATTAACATATTCTCAAGAATTGGAACAACAGCAGGAACGGGAACAAGAACTTGTTCCATACTTAGAAAATAAAGGTAGTGGTGTATATGCCTGGATTGGTGCAGGCAGAGATTCTGATTCTCGTCTGTTAGATTTGTGTACAAGATTTCTAATGCACAGGTAGCTGAACGTGTTTTTATACAAAACTCCTTACTATTTTCTTATGTTCTTAACTGTATATATAAATTATTTTTTTCAGAGACTCGCTAGGGCCATCTTATATTTCATCAGCTGTTGCTTCTGTGAAACAAATATCACAGTTATCAACGTCAAGTAATAATAACAATAATGGAAACAATACAACCAATGGAAACACTAGAAGTGGAAGCCCTGCAGTCGAATCAATTAATATTGATACGAGTTCTCTTGGATCTATTACAGAATGGGAACCACCAAGAGCATTATGGCCTACAGAATGGAAAGTCCGACCTTCTACAATAGAAGAACGCGAAGAGTTTAGAAGACAAGAACAAATGCGATATGCAGCACCTCATAAAGCATTTACTTATCGCATGCATGGATATGCATCTGTAGTGGGACCAGTCAAAGGCATTTATCAACATAACGTTGGTATGTTCTTCTTTAATAATTAAAATCATTTTTATTTCTAAAATTATTATTTTTTCATTATATCTAACATTTTTTATGTAATAGGATCTGGATTAACTAAACCACGAGGGCATTCTTTATTAGTAGCTGATCGACCAAATTTTGTAACAATCTTAGCATTAGTCAGAGATGCCACAGCTCGATTACCAAATGGAGAAGGAACTCGCGCTGATATATGTCAGTTATTAAAAGATTCTCAGTACATCAGAGAACAAGGAGAAAGTGATGATAAAGAAGGGTATTTACATTCAGTTGTGTCAGGTGCTTTAGACAGATTACATTATGAAACAGACCCATGTGTTAGATATTACCCTCGGCGTAAAGAGTGGCTATATCTTCACAGAGCACGTTCAGAATCGGAATTTGGTATGTACTTAGGATCTCATTATTTCATATTTATATATTATTATATATGTATGTATTTTATATATATTATTTCATAACTAACTATACTGTGTTTAAAACGATGTTTTAGAAATGTATCATCAACAGCTACAAGGTGTAGCAAAAAATAAAAAAAATGTAGGAAATACATCACGAAATAAATTATTACAAGCGTCTATCAAACCTATCATACATAAGGAGCAATCTCCTAATAGTAGCAAAGAAACTACTCCCAAAAAAGAAAGGCGTGCTGTTACTGTGGTTCAACCAGTTATAACTCGGTAAGTATTACATATATAAAACCTATATAAATAAAAAGAAAACAAAATACAATAAACTACTACGCAATAATTTAATTTTGATGCATTATTATTACTATAGAAAAGAACAACGTAAAACTGATGAAAAAGTTACTGTTGATCATTCAACTTCTTCTGAACAACCAGTTGTTAATACAACAACATTAACAACAATCAATGCATCAACATCAGCTATTTCTACCGCTACTAGTACTGCTAGTACTACTGTGTCTGTAGCAACGGTTCCAAGCTCTTCTACGCTAACGACAACAACTAACATAGAAAGGAATAATGTAATTTCTGAAGTTAAAACTTTAACGGCGTCAAATACGATTAAAAAAGTAACTAATATAGGAGGAAAACCAGTTGCAGTGGTAAAAACGAATGCGACACAAAGTTTATTGCAATCAAGTCAACAGCATTTTCCTCATCATCAAATACAAGTGTCCACATCTGCAGGACTGCAGACTATAAGATTGTCAGGACATTCTGTACTTCATTCTGCTCAACCTACTTCAACAAATACCAGTTCTTCTTGTATAGGAAACACTACGACAAACTTAGCAACAATATTTCCTAATGCTAAAGTTCAAAATCAACAACAACCACAAACTGTGGTAACAAGTCAAACTGGAAAGAGCATTTTGCAAACTTCTAATATAAAACAACAATCTCAGCAACCACATGTATTGCCTGGCAAAACATTGCTGGCATCTCAAATAAAATTAGTGAGCTCAGGACAAATAAAATCATTACTCACAGGACATGGCCTTCAAGGTCAAACGATATTCATTAAACAGTCATCTCCATCAAATAATCAATCTCAACAATTACAGCAACAACAATTAAAGGTACAATATAAAGATACTTCTTTTATCTTCACTACATTAATGTCAATCTTTACCACTATTAACAGCAACAGCAGCAACAACAACAACAACAACAGCAACAACAACAACAACAACAACAACAACAACAACAGCAACTTCAAAGAGTTGTGACTAATCAGCAACAACAAATACAGCCATCAGGAATGCAACGTATAATTGCACAAATAGGCGGTAAACCGATTGCTGTGCAAATACAACAATCTCCGCATCAATCACAGCAGCAACAACAACAGCAAAAGATACTAGCAAAGGTTTTAACTAGTACAGGTGGAGGACAACTTATCTCTGTAGAAAGTTTACTTGCACAAAAAGGGTTAAAACTAGCAACCAATACTTGCCATACAAACCAATTAAATAGACAAGGAAAACAAGTCATACAAACTCAGTATCAGGTATTTATGTAAAATATAATTTCGTTTGTAAAATAGATTATACATAATGTACTTAAATTTATTTGTACGTTCGATTTATTCAATTAGGTAGTGTCACAGGGTCAAACATCTTCGGTACAATCGAAAATTATTGCTAGTACACATCAACAATCTCAGTCACCTCAAACTCAAACAGTCAGAATGGTCACAGCGCAAATTGCTGGAAAACCTATTGTCCTGGCAAGTGGAAATAAAAGTGTTGGCGTTGGAGTAAGTGGGAGTGGAAACGTAGTTCTTGGAAAACAACAAAACCCACAACAACAACAAAGCCAACAGCAACCAATAATTCTGCCAAGTCAGTTGCTAAATATTAAAACGTTACATGGTCTTAAGGTGATACCAACGCCTACAGGACTGAAGACAACAGGTGCAGCGGTATACGCTAGAGTTATCGCGCCGACAACAATCTCTTCAACAGTAAATCAACAACAACAACAACAACAACAACAACAACAACAGCAGCAGCAGCAACAACAACAACAATCTGCTCAAACACAATCGTCAAAGAACAATTCACATAGCACACCTTGACAAAATTAATATGGTATTGTTTTATTCTATACTTTTTCTTTGTTTCGTCCGTTTATATTTTGAATACTTTAAAACTATTACAGGTATAAACCACGTATGATTTACTTGTAAAACTGTAGTTAAAATATGTAGCACTTCATTGTTGCATTGAATTTAATATTTACAACAGAAAGTGTTGAACACATAGAAATTTCAAATTTTTCATACAACACACACTAAAACAGAACAACAGCTTTGTACGAATAGGAATGAGGTGATGGATAATATATGATTCATAAATGAAAAAAATATGCGAAATTTGTATTATGTATGGAGTATTTACAAATGCATGATATAATTTGAATACAAAGCATTACTTGCTCTTGTGTTCTGAAAATATGTAGCGTTAAGTATAAATAAACTTACATGTAAGAAAATATTAAGTTATTTTTTTACAGGTTTCTGCCTTTGATAAAAAAAGAAAATCTAGTTAGAACACCTAGGTAGCACTAGCTACCGCGTCTTTGGTTCACCCTTTTTTCAAGGATATCATTAGAGACAGTCAATGTGTTCTTACAATATTGTATAGTTAAATATACCTAAAATTAAATTTGCACAAGAAGACGTAAGTTAAGTGTATCTGTTAAAGCAGAAAGCTATAACAGGTAAATTAACGAAACGCTCATGTTATTATTACATTTAGCACATTAGAATAAACTTGAAGTTATATTTGAGAACTTCTTATTTCTTCGAATATGTCAATGAGATTATTGACACCTATTAGATAACCATCTTCGTGATTTCCCACTTGCCATTCAACATCATGTCGAATTTCAGATAAATGTTGTGGTAGAGGTAATGTCTTTGCGAAGTCAATCATCCATATACCGGCATTTTTAACATCATGCACAAACAATAAGCTTGAACCAACAACTTCATGTGAAGCAAAAAATGGAGATGCCTTAAGCGTTGTTCGGATAGCATTAAGACGTTGTAAATATTTTGGAACTGCATGTGCGTAACCTTCAACAAAACGCTTAAGAGCTTCTGTAACCTAAAGTAAAACTTTGAATTATAATATGTAATTATTGTTGAATTTAATATCTTTAAATTAAACTTAACTGGTTTAACTAGTGTATAATGGCAAACCTGTTCACGAGTTTTAGTTGTTTTAAAATCTTTCGAAGTTCCACCATGCGCTAATTTTATACCTTCAACACGAAATCCGAGTGTAGCCGTACTAGAAATGGTTTCTCGCCAGACCATATATCTTGGCTTTGTAACACCTTGTAATCGATGTTCTTCGACACTTGGTGCAGTTGGATCAATTTGTATCATTTTCTCATACATGTCTTTCCTTAACTACATAACAAAAAATTATACAAAAGTTCCAATGTACATAAAACGTAACGTCTTTCTTTCTGCGTTAATTCATCACGGTTATTATTATTATTATTATTATTATTATTATTATTACTATTATTATTATTATTATTATTACTATTATTATTATTATTATTATTATTATTATTTTATGCAGTATTCGTCATATCGTATCCTATGGTACCTTAGGTCTTTCTTTGGCTTTTGCCAATTCAGATTCAAGATACGTTCGTACTCCAATTTTACAGTCCATTACACAAGGTTGTTCAAAATCTCCCAAAAGATCTTGAAGTTGCAAATATGAGCTAACAATGGATTCCTTGTCTATCATTTTATCTTCATTTTTATTCTTTGTTTTTAATTCAGAATTTTCACAGTTTTCTTCTTTAGATTCTCGAATATTCAAGACTCCTTTAAATTCAGGCACATACGGTCTTAGAATATCATGCATTAGCAAACGGAAACAAGCTTCTTCCTGCGAGGAGAATTTCTTTAAAATAGTTCCCGATGTTGGTCCAGCATGAAAATTTCCTTGATGGCCAGCTAATTGTACCTAAATTAAGGATTAGGAAATAAATTATCCAAAATATCACTTAATATATATGCAAGACCATTTAATATATACCCATGGATATCGTTGTTTTTTATATATTTGAAAGAATGGAGCCCAATGCACAACATTTCTCAATTTTCTCCAGCCAGATGTCTATAACAAATACATGATTATTTTAAGACGAACATAAACAATGTGAAAAAATGCAATCTTAGTATACATCTTTAATTATATTTCTAATCAAGTATACTTACTCGTAAAGATTTAACTGGTTGAAGTTCTTCAGAGATATCACAGTCATCTCCACTTAAACTGGAAGTAGTAGAACAATCTGATACTTTACGTACAGGTGGAACATCTAATAATTCAACTTTTGATTGATCTTTTAGTTCGGAAGGACTATCATCTGTATATTCGAGAACAGGAGGATCATCAAATTTAGTGTAATATGGACCAGTAGTCTCCACACATGAATTTCTTCTGTTTCCTGCTTCATGCAGATCTCTGAAACAAGTAAAAATTTTCTTTTTAGTAGTATTTTTATTACATAAAAATATATAAATGTCAATAAAACTTAATATATATTACAAAATATAAAAATACCTTATAGAAGTGGTGTTAGCTTGCCTTAGGCACAAACAGCAGGAATCAGAATGTCTACGAAGGCGACAAACTTGAAGGAACTTTATATTTAATGACTCTTGTATCTCATCACAATCTAAACAAGAACAACTACTAGTTTGACTCGGACTCCCACTTGTTCCATCATATTTTTCGACATCAAGATTGGTTCTCTCAAAGTTTTCATCTAAGTAAGAATAATCTGAATAATCGCTAACAACCACACTTGGTGTTCTCCAATATCTTGGTCGTCCTTCAGTAGATTCACATTCACTACCTTCTACCATGTTAAAGCAATCCCATCCTGTTAAAGAAAGAATAATTTTTTATTCTATTTACTGAAAGTTCTGACGTCAAACAAAAAAGAAATATACATTAGAAAGTTTAAATATAAAAAGTTCTAAAAAGAAATGAACATCAATGATGAAACATGATTGATATGATAGTATAATCAAATTCTCTTATTCTTCTTTCAATGTTTATATTCACTTGTATTTTCTTTCTAGAATTTACTTAAGTAACTCACCTTTTCCTTGATCCTCATCACTTAGTACTGCACTATCGGAACTGTAACATCTCGTGACCCTCAGTTTGTGTCGATTTTGCTGATAAACACTGTTCGATGTATCGTCATCACTTGGCAAGGTAGAATCAAGACTCCAGCATCGAGCTACCGATCCTCTTCTTCGTTCCGTATCGGGCTCAATGCCCTCATCGTTAGGTGGACTTTTACTTAAGACACGTACGACCGGCATCCTAATCGTATCAAACTTGTCGTACCTTTCATTCGCTTCCGTAGAATCATCATTATTGGTATCATCTTCTTTTTTAGGAAGATTCTTCGACTTCATCACGGTGACCCCATTCAGTGGCTGGCGGTTGTGCTGGCAGCTGTAACTGCCGTATTACAGACAAATATTCAACGATACGATCCAATGGAATGGTGGTCGAAAGATCGACGCGCTCCAGCGCATAATAATAAACGTAAATGAGGAATGAATGATGTTCGATCGTTATTGATTGATACTATTAATTTCACAAAATAATCGTTACCTCGGACTTGACTCTTCTTTAACGCGTGCTCTTTCATTCGATATGATAGCCCATAGTATGAATGTCGTATCGGTTATATTAGACTTTAAATTGAATGCTTTCCAAGGACGATCCCGATGCTACATATCGACAATCCTACTCGACGCCATGTCGTGTTGAGAAACACGAAACTCGACGGGAGTATGCCCAATAGTTGTTCGATACATGCCTTCCTTCGTTCGCACTCACCCACCGTCCCCACTCTATTCTTTAAAGGAATTTCCTTGAAGAAAAAAGTAACCCTTTTCGACAACTTCTTTCTTTCTTCTCCTTATTTTTATTTGTTTCTGTTATTGTCAGTCTCGAACGAGTTCATAGAGTACAACTCAATGTCTCTTGACAGAGTAGTTTATCGCTCGTAGTAACACGTTCATATTCATTCGTTTTACAAAGAATTTAGAAAACATCATTTTATAAAGAATATCGAATGATTTTCTTCGATTATTTTATCTCTTTTGTTCCATTTTAACGAATTCGTCTAAAATTTGTTAATTCTTCTTTGACTTATCGATATCAAGACATCCTTCTTTTTAATTTACGCGCGCTTTGTACTTTTCATCGACTGTCGATTGTTTTGACCATCCTTGTTTAAGCACGCAATCGCAGAGATTTATTTATTTCAAATTAATTAGAAAAAGAAATTGCTTATGTGTGTGGCGATAAACGATAATAAATAAGAAATAATAGGAAGTTCAATCATAAGGTTGTTGTCTCGTGAAAGCTAGGAGAAAGAATTTACAAAAAGTGTGCTTGATAATGCGATTCGGGAAAAAATGTAGAAAGGATGAGGTTGGAAAGGTATACTGAAATTGTTTTTTATTCTTTCGTTTGACGTCACGCGTGCGTCAGAGAAACTGTAGAAACGAGAAAGTGCGATTGAATGATCGTATTTACGATCATCTCGCAACTATACGTTGTCTGGTATCGTTAATTCTTTCTCCTTCTCTACGAACGATCCATTATCTCGTCAGTTCAAATGCCCCTCGGCCACTTGAGCCTATCTGTGTTCGCTTCGTTCTATTCAACGCGTATCAACTGCTTGCCGTATAATAATAAATGTTCCTTATTCATTTCGGAATATTTCATATGTTTACTAGATATCAACGACCTCTATCTATAATTATAACTCAATATTCAAATATTCACTTTCGTATCGCATACAAATAACTCTTGAATGTTATAAAATTCTTTGTTCCAATCGCGTTACTGACCAGTTTTCAACTTTGTCCGTTACTTTTTCGTATTATATGACTATATCGAGATCATATGTATACATTAGTATTATTTATATTCCTTCTGTGTTAAAACTAGAAAATGTCAGGTGTGTTAGAATCATGAACAGGACGAGTAACATTTGTCATGGAATTAGGTCAATGTTGTCTCAAGGCTATTCTCTCTCTTTCTCTTTCTCTCTTTCTTTTTTTTTTCTCTCTCTCTCTCTCTCTCTCTCTCTCTCTCGAGTATACTCTAGATAAATGATGACACATGTGTTAACATCATATCATCGACTTATAAAATAGACTGCATGTTTCATAGTAAAATGTTTTAAATTCTAGCAAACAGAAGCAAATAGTATATTATACATTATCATATTACACTTTCTTTTAAAGATAACGTGATTGGCTAATGCGTTTCCACGGTAACATATCAATGACATATACGCAGAATAAGCATCTACAGTATAATTTTTTAAACTATGTATATACTTGTTTAGAAATTTTTTTAAATATCATAAAATATCATAAAAATCATAAAAAAATAAGAAAATAAAATTGATTATTTCATTTACAAATTTAATTTAAAAAAACTTAAGAATTGTTCATTCAATATATTTTTTATATTTCATGTACGATTTTGTATATAACAAAGATAAAATGCCCTAATCTACTTTTTTCTCTTCGTTTTCTAAAGTTCACACGCAACTTATATGCGCCCATAATTATGAACGTGGTTAAGTCATATTCTCTTGTTTCGAGATATTCAAAGCATTATATTTGAACACTAAATGAATTCTATATAATATTGAAATAACAAACACTGTCTTCATTTTTGACAATATCGTGAAAACTACATTGAATTAATTTAGTTTAAAATAATGTGGTGTGAAATAACTGATAAATTTATTTTTTTTAATTTTGACTTAATCACTTTCATAATTATGGACACATATATATATGCACATGCATGTATATAGTTAATATCTAACACATATATAGATGGTCGACTTTATACGTCCATGTGCTTTATTGATTGATGACGAATAAGTCGATTTGACTGTGTTATTTCGTTAAGGTTTAAAAAATATTAGCAAAGAATGGTCGCTGAACAAAGAAGACGGGTCGAAGACCTTATGACAAAAATGATTGAAGAAATGGATAAAGCATTTTTAAGAAAAATGCAGGTAATTGATAATAGATATTATTTTTAGGTTATCTGTGCCTCTGAACCTCGTGCTTCATTAGATGATGTAAAATAGGCGAAAATAACACTGTCAATTTAAAACATGTTTGTCTATATGCCAAAATAATTCATAAGAATGGGACTTTCATAAATCATAATGAAATTAATAAATTTTTTCTTTTTCAATTTAGGCTAATATGCATAGGTGTGCAGCTACCTGCTGTGATAATGAAAGTTACAGCATAATGCAAGTACAAAACTGCGTTGAAAATTGCAGTTCTTCGTTAAACGAAACACAGAATTATGTTCAGAATGAATTTGTAAGAATACAGGTTTGTATGATGACTTTATATACTTTCTTAGCATTGCTTCTCGTTATACTTAAATGTATAATATTAATATGTTATATTCATTAGAATCGATTACAAAGATGTGTAATGGACTGCAATGATACGATAAAAGATAAAATGAGTAATAATCTAACACAAAATGAAGTAGATAGATATAGCAATGAATTTGATAAATGTGCAACAAAATGCGTTGATACTTATTGCGACTTACTGCCTTCGTTGGAAAAATCAATGAAAAATGTGCTTTCAAGTAAAGTTTGAAAATAGTACAAGAGTAAATAAATTATTCTTATAAGACTTAATAACAAATTTCAACTGTCAATATATATCTTTTGCAACTTTTATATGTTTTAAATATATAAAATAGATGTGATGTTAATGAAAACTGTTAATATTTAGAAACTTTCTTTTTTTAAGTGCATTAATGCATTGGTGGTGTATAATACTTAAAGTTTTACATACTTTAGTTAGTTTTCCTGTATTACAATTAAATACAGTAGTTTTATTTCAATTATTACAGAAGATCTTACTTTGTCGTTTTTAAAAAGAATTTAATCGCTTCTTTTTTGTAGGCATAAATACTTGTTCATTTGTACATATATAAAAAATATGCACTTGTTCAGATTTGTTCCTAATGTTTTCCAAAAAAATATAGAATATAACAGTTAGAAATTACAGTGTCGTTGTAACTTATTTTTTAAACATTTTAATTCCAAATATTCAGTTTCATTTTTTTTCTATTTATAAGTTTTAAAAATAATTCTTACAAATTGGAAGTAACATTCCGCCGCTTCGTTTTTCTTAGATATCATTTTGACGTGTACTGCCTCATCTAATACTCGCTTCTTCTCAAATTTGTTTCCTGCAAACAATAGTTGTACAAGATGACGTTTTTTATAAGACATAGTGAATTAAAAAAAAAGGAGATAACGAACTGTATGATCATGGTATTTATTAACTGGTACATTTGTTCATTGCACCAATACATTTTCGTTTCTCTTTTTTCTCTCTCTCAACATAATAACAAATTCACTGTTGCAATCAATATCTTTTCTTTATTGTTACAATAGACATTACGCTTATTGCACACTTTTCCATGATATAAAACCTTTCCACCACTCTCGCTCAGTACAAATAATTGATCAAAATATATCGCACGAATTCTGATCTAATAATATGTAGAAATCTGCAAAGAAATCGTTTAAATAATAATAATAATAATAATAATAATAATAATAATAATAATAGTAATAATAATTTAATTATAAATATCAACGCAATATATTTAATTTTATTTCGGTTTGCGTATGAGTTTTCTATGAAAATTCGATATTGGGCTAGTTTTCTTTTTTTTTCTTTTTTTTGCATGTTTAATATCTATTCGATAATATACTCGTACATTAAATTAAGCTGTTCGGTTCTTTTTTTACTTCAACCTGAGAAAGGCTGTGAGAGGCATAGTGCATCATTATTGCGCAATGTTGATTAGGAACGAAGACGTGCACTCTTCGCTGATATGCAACACACAAATGTTCGTCGAGAGTATCTTGTCGCACATATTTCTAACGATAGTGACGTGAATATTCTCTATCGTACACGTACGTATATTCATTTTTATTTATTTATTTTAGTTATACCAAATGCAATTATTGTGTTATGTTGGTGTGCGTGCACGCGATTTGAGTGCGTGTACGTCTACATTTTAAACATATTTTAATATCGCGTAGTGGAATGGAATGAGTTTTGGAAACTATCAAATTTTTAATTACTGAAAATATAAAGTATTATAAGTGAATGTTGCGTTATTTATTTCGCACCCTATTATTGTACCGATTGAGATAAAGATCTACTGAATAAAATTTCATTTCTCAGTCAGATCCCTAATCAATCAGACTCTTCGGACTAGATTTTTCTTTTCAGTGTCTCATTGAAATTATGCATTTTCTCTTCGTTAAACGCTAGTCACATCTCAGAGTTTATCTGTTCTCTTTTTTTTCTTTTTTATTTATTTTTTTTATTTATTTCTTTATTTTTTTCTTTATTTTTTTTTTTTATTTTTTAATTTCCCCTAGGTACGTCTATTAAAGAAGAAAATAATAGAAAGATATAAAAGAAATTCAAACTTTCTTTTATAGTTTTGTTTGAATAAATTTAGCCAGCCACGAATAAGTATGTACTCTTTTTAGCAATGGTACATTAAATACCGATCTCGATCGTACAGAAAGAAAATCTAAATTGTTTTTGTTCTTCGTTTTTATTACAATTCGAACAAAAAATCGTCTGATCATAAATTCTGCGAAGATAAAATGAATTTATGGTTATTTCATATATCACATTGAACGTCAATATGTGCAGTAACGAAAACATAAAGATACATGTGTGCTGATTTAACGATCGTAGATAGTTTTTCTTTATCGCGGGTCTGTTTAGGGATTCAAAATTTAAGAAGATTAACTTTAAAGTCTTCGTTTGTAAATATTCTTTTTTCTCTCTAATGTGATTATTATAAGAGATTTATATTTAAGCGCGGGAGGAAAATGTTCACACTGTTAAGATCGAACAATTCATTATAAGTGTTTTCTTTTCTTGTTTTTGTTGTTAGTTTTTGTCCTTTTTTTTTTTAAATTTGCGATACGAAAACAATCCACGACGTTTAGATCCCTTTCATCAATGTTTATTATTTTCGTAAAAGTCCACTGTGAAACGTAATGAGAGTACTGGTCAAGTTTGTCGGAATACCGATTTCAAAAATGTCTAAATAGAACTGTATCTTTTGGTCCTATCCTAAGCTATCACCGACCGATTGTAAATTAGCTCCTTCGATCTTCATTGGTTAATTAATATCGTGTTTAATTGTGTGCCTGCAGATGGAACACGCGGAGTCCTTTCAGCAAGCCCACACCGTTTACTATACGCTATTATCGCGGAGCTAAGCAGTCATTTCGTAGTCCTGCGTGACTGCCATTGTCTTCTACAATCTCCTGAAAATCTCTTTCGTCTATCTTTTTTTTTTTTGTCATTTTCACAAAAAAAAGAAACGTATCATCAAAGATTTAAAAAAAATTATTTTTCTTGTTTTTGTTTTTTTTTGCACTCGAATTTCTTCTTTTCTCGTTCTTTCTTTTATTTTTTCGAATATCTAGCGTCATTAATTTATAACATTCTTTCGACAGTACGAATTTACTGCATCGCTACCGACATAATAAATTGCGACACTCGCCTAATATGGCTGACTTCGAGAGGCTTGACCACGTCGTTGGGTATTTTTTTCGTCTGCATCCACGCGCGTTCGATTTGTACTTTGAAATGCTGAGACAACTAATCTGTTACAACTTCGCGAGCTTTCGTCAAAAACAGTTGCCATGCTATTTATTATGTGTGTATGTGTGTGTGTTTGCGTCTCCTGTGTGTACATATTATTTATAGAAAAAGAAAGAAATAGACAGTAAGATTGTCGACAGTAAATTACATATTTATCCTTCCTTATTTCTTATTATACTTTTTTTTATTACTACTCTCTTTGTTCTGATTGAAGACAAATGTTTTCAAGTGTAGAGAATGATCTGAATTATCTCCTCGTATATATATTATTTTTTTTTTTCATGGTAACTCTTTCAACAAAAGCTTTTTGGCCAGTACGAATAAATCCGAGCGCCGCGGACAAAACTTTCGTTTTTCATTTAAATAATAAGTTTAAAAAGAAAAAAATAATAATAAAGAAATATGAAAAAAAAAAAAAAAAAAAAAAAACTAGAGGGAAAGGACTTCCTACTGATTTTTAAAGAATAGAGTGCGTAATTTTACGTAGAGTAGTAAGTATCTATGTAGTCGAATACGCGAGAATCTACGATCGCTTAATTATCGTCTGTTTTCTTTTTTGGCACTCGAGCCTCGGGCTTACACGTTCGTCGTAATACATTCCAAAAATCGATTACATTATTTACGCGACATAATGATGAAGAATCGAAAAGAATAAGAATAGTACTTCGTAAAAAAACGAAAGGAGGATAAACAAAAGTAAAGTATATGAAAAAAAAGACTTTCAGTATCATAATAGTACACCGATGTTACAATCACGAACGATTCTCACGCATTCCGTTTATTTACGCTCTTATATATCACTTAGGTATTTTCCTCTAAACACATCAGGGCCACTCAACAATTTTTCGCAAAGTATCGACAAGTTTACTTTGCAAAAATGATTGAGATCTCACTGACGTTCGTGGATAGAACTCCAGTAAGAATGATCGCAAAACCGGTCGTGAAAAATAACGGAAATCATACGAGTAGCCCCCGTTTTGCTCTCCTGTAATTCTTGCAGGAAACCAAGTCGCGTTTAAAAAAGGCTTCGAACACACTTTGAATATCGATCCCTGTAGGCGAATGAGACAATTCGCATCCGCTGTGTGCACGTATTCATTCAATAACTCTAAAAAGAAGAACACCGTGTTCCCTACTCTCTCTTTCTCTTATTTTCTTTACGCGATTCACTTTCTTATTTAAATAAAAAATAAAAAAGGAAAAATAGAAATAAACATTTGGAATATCTCGTGCGCCAGTGCAAATGTATTATATAATTCGATGCGATCGAGAAAATTAAGATTAAGAGATATTTCATATATTATTTGTAAATTTTTAAGAGTATTTCACATAGTTAACATGTGCGTCTTTATTTAAATATTCTTTATAAGATAAAAGATTTCAAAGTAAAACGGTAATCTTTTGCTCGATCGCTTCATGTCGAACTTTTCAACGACGCATCGTTTAATTTTTATTTAATATTAATTATAAGTTTAGGTAGTTTTTTTAATAGCAAATAAAAGTAATTATATAGAAATATTTCGTAAAATATCAGCTTGATTTTCGTCGATTTTTAATATTCATTAAAAATCTCAATGATTTGCCTTATCTGTGTTGAATTTCGCACGAGTCTTCCTTTTATATAGTATTTAATTAATTTTACTGTAATTTTTATATATACAGTACACGGATCGATCGTTGACGATTACTCTGAGATCACAATCACAACACGCTATTTGTATATTATTAATTAATGATGTTATTTGCTTCTCATTAAAGTATTTCTCTATTCGCGTTAAATTATTGCATACAATCGGTCCGTGTAATTAGTATACTAAGTTCATAGCTGCTCCCAATGAGAAAATAGTTTAGAGCTCTAACACAAATCAGATTTGCCTACATGGATCATCTTGACAATTATGTCTTCGATAGACTTAGTGTTTCACAAAAGTTATAGAGGTTTACCAAAAGGTGTAACCGCCCTCCGTTCCTCCTCCTAGGAACGAGCCTTTCTTTTGCGACAAGGCCACACTATGACCAGCCATTGCAGCTAATTGTGCAGCATTCGCAGCAACGCCTGGTGGTGGTGGTGGTAAAACAGGCTGTGAGATACCATCGAATCGAGTGCCATCGAATCCATTCTTTGAAGGAAATATTACAGTTAGTTATATAAATTATATAATCTTCTTCTAATTTACAAAGTTATCAGAGCCAAAATATTAAGTTTAACTTACGGGTACCATGATCGTGGGCCTAACTGGTGCCGGTTGCATTGCAGCTGCTGGATAATATGCTGCAGCTGCAGCTAATGGTGGATAGTATTGCAATGGACCATACGCAGTAGGATAACCTGCCAAATATCCACCAGGATAACCTTGGCCATACATTGGTTGATACATCTTTAAAATAATGTTATTTTTGTTAGAATTTATTATAATAGATGAATGTATATTTAAGTAAGAAAATTAATAATCTTACCATAGGATGTGTGAGAGTCTGATCATATGTTGGCTGCGGTGGTCCTTGTGCTGCATATAATTGAGGTTGATTTGGAAACACTCCATATGGTGCTGCACCTGCAACTATTTCGCGAATATTGTTTATGATAATAAACTTTAATTTTTTATCTTTGCTTAGAAATTCAAAACTTAATTTAGCTTTCGGAACATTAAAAATATATTAAAGTATTCCTTATGCATACCACCATAAGTAGCAGGTTGAGCTGGGGCCGGAACAAAACCTGTTGGAGGATGTGGTGCCACGGGATATGCTGTAACATAATGTGATACAAAATGCAGGAAGGTTCATTTTTCCGATTTATACTGGCTGATCTAAGCCAATGGTACGCGGTACCACTGCCAAAAAGGACAAACGACGACCCGTTTTACGGCTCAACATGGCTTCTTTTTCATAGCATGGATCAAGTGTCTGTAACATTTCTTGACTTTATATCTTTCTCTCTTTCTTTTGTTTTATTACAAATACTTTTAGATATTTATTTCCTTACTGAGTACGTAACTCGGGTCGTCAGTATCTAATCGTTTTGGACAACTCTCCTTCATCTTACTCATATCAAACATATTACACAATGTGATTAATTAATCTTGACAAATATTCTATCGACATTAATTTGTTATCTTAATCGATGTTTTAAACGTTACGATTGCAAGGAGTTAATCCAAAACGTTTGGATCCTATAAGTGGTACTCCCACACCCAAGTATATCTTACACATGACATACACCATTTTTATCAAGGTACTATTCAAAGCTCAAACAATGTTAGTCACTAAATAATGGTGAAAAGAAATAACCGAAAGAACGGTATTGCCGCCCTATTGTCACCATGCAAGTTTATCGAGTAAACGCGTTTTTGTTTTATTTTATGCTTTTATATTTTAAACGATCATTTAATAAAATTAACGCTACAAAAAATGTTTACAAAATAATCGTTGATCCCGTATAAACTTTGATGGTACAAATTGGGCTTCAGAGTAAAAACATTTACGAAACTATCGAAAATCCACAATGCGTCGATTTCTATCGATTGATTGCGATTATTTTCATGATTGAAATCGCGCACAATAAATAAAGGTAGACCGGACAATCGAAAATTATGCACGTTAGTGGATTATCAACAGTAACGTCTTTGAAAGCGAGTCACACTTGAGAATAGCTTTAACAAGTTAGACTTCTGATATCCTAATTCAAAATACATGGCAAGTGGTGGAATTCAAAATCTGGAGCAATCTGTGGTATATATATCTTGTCACTAATATACTAGCATTATTGAACACCATTCAGAAATGATCCAATTTAGATACATATCAAAATCTTCACCTCATCTGAACATGATTCATAGACATTATCATGTTTAAATGTTTTTTAATTTTTGCCGATTTCTTATTTTTTTTATTTATTTTCTTCTATTTCTAAGAAAAAGATAATAGTAAAGTACAACAATAGCAATTACCAATGCTTGATAGTCAAAAGAACCATTAGGAAGTCAATCATAAAATCAAATGAATAAACTATTCTCAAATGAAAACTCGTGTAATTGACCTACCTTTACTTCTAAAACTAAGATATAATACGAAACCGATCTCAAAGCAAATAGCGTTACGCAATCAAGGTAAAAGCCAAATACATTCGTCTAAAATAGCCAAACCTGAGAAGACCCATAAACTGCTATATATTGTTAGTATTAATTTAAAACATTCAATTAAGAAAAAAGTAAACTAGCTATAATCTCTTCATTCGTCATTCTCATTAGCACATTAAATATTGTTCATCGCACATCAGAAAAATAATTAAAGTGTGTCAATTGATCATATTCACCAAGTTATTCGTATAAATCTTGTCGTAAGTCTTGAATTAAGCGGTACCTTACGGACAATACAAGAAACGAATTTGCAATAAACTAAATTTGGATATTCAGCTATAACTAAATATATTCACAAGTGCTAATAATGTCGCACATTTACGATGTTCTATCTCAGGTTTGACTTTACGGAAAAACAGAAATTACAAAAAACAGAGCTAAAATAAAGCCAAGGGTAAGAAGGATAATGGTTTGTTTCAAAGAGTGATATTAAAACAAGCCCAGTAATCAAAATTCGATTAGGTGAGGCATTTTAACCGTAGGAATAATTCAAATTCAATTGAACTTTCACAAGTTGACCGAATAGTCATGTTCGGGCGGTGAATGTGTAATTTATACAATGAGTACAGTGGTACAATGAAAATATATATTTATATATATGTATATATGTATATATATACATATATACATATGTATGTATGTATATATATATATCAAGTTCCACACATTCAAAAAGTCGTGACAAGATTCAGCAAACCACAAATTTCTGCAAATATCCATAAATAAAGATCAAACATGATTAAAAGTTCTTTATAATTGCGTAGTAATATATTATCAATTGGGCGCTCCTTGCCTCATGCTCGACGATCGTTAATGAAATATTTATTTCATCGCGTGATAGTAGAGTGGTGATAGTAGTAATAGTAGTAGTAGTACTAGTAATAGTAGTAGTAATACTAGTAATAGTAGTAGTAGTAGTAGTAGTATAGTGGTATATAAGTAGTATAGTAGTAGTAGTGGTAGTAGTAGTGAAAGGGCTGCTCGTTAACGAACCGCTCGACACCATCGCAGAACGCCCAATTTTTGTCTTTTTAGTAGTCTAAATTATGCCCTGCGCCATCGCGATTAACATACGCAAAGTGTACCCTATATATATATATA